GGGGGGGGGGGGGGGGGGGGGGGGGGCGGAGTTCCGAGCTCCTCCTTTGGCTTCGCTGACATCACGTATGCCGCCGTCTCCTGAGAATACCAGAGGCGTTGGGTGGTTGCCCAAACAGCAAACATACCAATTTTGCACCAACCTCTTTGAAGCCCTCTCCACCGATCACAAGAACACACACCGAATCCGTTCTTCGTCAAAGGGGTTTCCGTTGCTCTTACGACGGCGCGTTCCAATCGCCTTGATTTCGCAACCCTTTGCGCAGTGCCTATACTTAGATCACCAACGCCTACAAGAAGCTACTTTTTCGTGGACAAGAGCGAGCACTTTGCAGCTTGCAGCTGAGCACTAGATCCTGGACCGAAACCACCCGAACCACTACTGCTGCTGTCCAGAGCGTGTTCGGGGGGTTCATATGACCGTAGCGGCGGCTTTCCCATTCCGCAGTTTCACAGCTGACCCCTCGTCGTGTTGCTAGTCTCCTGAAAGGAACGAAGCCTACCGAGGCGTCGGCTGATGCCCCGCGAAACAAAAAGCAGTCGCCACTTCACACGCCGCTTGCCTACCGTACCGGGCGGAGCGCAGCACCGAACCACTGCCACGCTGAACAACCGCATTGCACACTGGCGCGAGTTCATGCCATCCACGCGCGCACCCTCTCGTACGCCACGATCCGACCCTAATAGCATATACACCGCTGCATGTTTGCGTGACCCCACAGCACTTTTAGGCAGCACACGAACCCTCCCCCACGAGTCACAGCCTTGCCCCAGAGTGTACAATGCACTGCATCGGACAGAGGTGCAAATAGACAGGCAGACACCACAAGCGACATACTTGTCTGGTGTGGGGTCTACAAGTTGAAGACCAATATTGTACGCACAGCTGTTCAGCAAAAACGACACAGGAACAAATTGAACCACAACTAGGTGTGAAGAATTGAGACGGCCACATCTTGTGTTTTAATTAATCCTCTCGTTGTTGGGTTTATCTACCTTTGCACGATAACCACCGCACCTTGAAGTGAACCATGTTGTTCTCGAAGACGAACAAATCCAACCGCCTGACTTTGTGCCGTAGCTCTCTGCTGCTGGCCTGGTAGTGTACCCCGAAACCCCACGGCTTGAACAGCGACTGCAAAAATGAGTGCAGGTCCTGTGCGTCGGTTTCGGGAGAGACAAACGAACAAGTAACCAAGTTTCCGTTAGCGTATACAGCAGCACGCGTGTCTGCACCGTTCGTGGGAAACGCGCGTGATGTCGAGGTTACGTGTGGTTTTGGCAATCGACGTAGATACCTAGATCCGATACAAGGTTGAACTAGAGAAACCGACAAAAACCCATTCGAGGCGCTCTCCTGTCAGTCACGCCGTCCTCATTATCGTGTCTTATCCGTTTGTCTATCTGTTCAATCTGTTCGCCATACGTCATGAGCCCGAGGGGTTTTGTTCGGACCGTTCCAAATTGGCGGGAAAAGCAACTTCGAGCCATGCCTACACCCGTCTGACAATATCAGTCGTTGGGCACAAGAGCGCAGCAGTAGCGGCTACGGTTCAAGAGAAAATGTTTAAAAGAAGTACCGATGTAAGACAGTCAAACTGGCTTGTCAGGATCAAAATCGGTACACGAGTGCGAGTGAATTTGTCATGTTTGTGAGATATTCCCTTAAATTGAACCTCTGAAAAAGATCCACCAAGCCGTCACACACAGCTTGTAGACACCATGCCCTGCCCAGCAGGCAACCACTGCACAGCGGTCGCCGATCACACGCCAGGCCCACCAAACTTCAAAAATCACCCATGGATTACGTACAGCGAAAAATGGTATCACACGACACCATGATTACAACACACAGACCAAGCATGTGTGGAGCCAGGACAAGTTGACGCGTGATGTATCATGAGTGATATGCCGTCCACACACACGTTTAGCTGATTGAAACGAGAGCGTCCATCTTCCATGGCCTTCAAATGCTACGGTTTAAGAGAAACTTGTCTCCAAACATGTTCACGATTCAAATTATCTTGAACCGTAGCCAACACGGTATTAGAGGAAGCCCGACTGAAGAGAAAACTAGGAGTTTGTTACCTCCCTCTCTTAAACCATAGCTGCTACTGTAACGGTACTTGACAAAAATGCGGCAAGTACTACCCGCTTGAGGGAGGCGGGATACTATAAAGCCCAAGCAAATTCTACACCAATACCACTATGCCCACCACCACGTCACTATAGTAGACCACAACCACAACGAGAGCGCATACACAACAACAACAACAACAACAACAACAACAACAAGATGCCAGCACCAGGGACAGCAAAGCAACGACAGCCCACCTGCACGGACATGAGGCAGGTCGCGTGGGGGTCGAAGGTGGACCAATGCTCCGCGAACCTCGTGAAGTCCTCCTCCGTGATGAAGTCCTCCGACTCCTCCTTCGCGCTGTCGAAGCCGTCCAGGATCACCCCGATGAACAGGTTCAGGAACACGAAGGTAATCAAAAACGTGAAGCTGACGGAAGGTGGGGAGGGAGGGGCAACGACACGCACCGACGCGAGCGCAACCGTGAGAGGCCCCGTGGGGCGTGTGGGAGTGGGTCTGATGCAAAAGGTGGTGTATCTGCAGAAAACCAACTCCACAGCTGCGTACAGGTGTTGGCTGGTTGAGGAGGGGTAGAAGGGGATTAGCAGGGCCGGGTCAGGCCAACGGTACCCATTCTTGCCCGAAGTCCATGGGTACCTTAGCATGGCGGTGAAAGCGACACGGGCGACATATGAAGTGGCCGTCCCCATTGCCACAGGAGACCAGGCCGTGCCCCCTCGCGGTACTACTTCCAGGATGCAGCTATAGTTGTTGCGTTCTTACTACTGGGATGGTGGTTGCCAAGCTCCACTCACAACCACACGTTCTGGCCCGTACGAAAGGCTTTCACGGACATCCCGTACTCTCTGTGTACGAGAAAAAGCCGTGCGCTGCACCGCAGCAACAACTACCAAGGCGCCAGCCAGTACTCACTTCAACTCCTACAGGCACAACACACCGACGCAAACGTGCCTCTTTCGCGGGCAAATCACACACACTTACACACCTACACACACGCACCTGATCATGTACGGGTAGATGGTCCAGCTGCCGCACCCATCGATCGGGATGCAGTTATCGTGGCTCGTGAACCCGCAGACGTCGGGGTCGTACTCGGGGTCAGACCGACACCCGTCCCTCTCCGCAGCTACGTCGTGCATGAAGCCGTTCCAGTTCTCGCCCGTGCTAAACCGCAGCAGCAAGACCATCGTGTCCCAGAATGAGCGGAAGTTGGCCTGCGCGTTCAGGGCCCCCTCGAGTCCCACCTGGTGGTAATTTTTTTTATTCATTTTTTTTTTTTTTGTGGTGGTGGGCGCGGGCAAAAGCGGGGGAGAGGGGAGGTGAAGGTCGGGGCCACTGACTGCTGCGCCACAACGGCTAGCAACGCCTTCCACCCACCTACCTACCTACCTACCTACCTACGTTGTTGACCCCGTGCCCTCACCCCTCGTGCACCTAGGTGCTTTCAACTCGAGCATCATGTTGTTGCGCTGGTGTTGGCGCACACCTGTGCAGAACCGGCCGCGCACGAAAACAACAATGACAAGGAACAGACATGGAGAGGGCGCTCCCTTCTCTCTCTCTTCTCTCTCTCTCTCTCTCTCTCTCTCCCAGCCAGAATCACAGCAGCGGAAGCAGCAGCAAGAACTCAATCCGCAAAACTACTCAAATGACGTTCAAGACCGGTCAGGTACCACGGGTTCCCTCGTGGGAACGGCTCGCCGCCCCGCTCTCCTCCTTCCCCACTCCTGCTTTCACACACACGCACGCAAGCAAACCTTGGCGTAGAGCTGAACCCCCATGGCCGCAAAGATGAAGAAGAGCAAGAAGAGCACAGCCCCCACGTTGCCCATGCTGGGCAGCGTCATGAGCAGCGTCTGGAACAGCTGGGACATCGACCCCATCCCCCGAACGAGCCGGAGAACGCGGCCTACCCTGAAGGTGCGGATCACGGTGATGATGGTCCCGTACTTTGAGTCGAGAAACAAGAGCGACAGTAAGCCCGCAGTGCTGCCGAGCACGATGAAGAAATCGAAGCGGTTCCACGGGTCTTTGAAGTACGCCCACCGGAGCGCTAGGATCTGACGGATGGGAAGTTGGCAGGCGTTTCGGGTCGGTGGTGGTGCGATATAATAAAAGTGTGGGAGGGTTCTGATATCTGATCGTCCCATCGCTGAGATATTTCTCCGCGATGGATGCGTCCAATTAGAGGAGGATGAGCGGCACCAGCCAAGACTTTACACTCTTGACCCCTCCTCATCCCCCCCTTGGGCAATAGCAACACGTACGCATCGCCGTTCGCTCTATCACCGCACCTTCGCGAGAGCCTCCAAGGTGAACAGGGCGTAAAACAGGTAGTGTAGCACCTCCAGGACCCTGGGGGAGAGAGCAGCAAACAGAACAGCAGCAACAGGCGTTGTGAGGTGTCCAACACATCATGCCGGGTGGGAGGAAGTGGTGGGTTGTTGTTGGAGGGGGGGAGGTGGGTATTGGTAATGAAAAAAATAGTCATCGAGTGTGAAGGAAGATTCGCTCGGTTCCACATTCTTGACACTGTGAAGAACTACGTTGGTTGAAACGACAAAAGCTGCTATCGACGAACATTTCCAAAGTGAAAAGCAACCGCGCACTCTCTTTCAACGGTCTACTCGCTTGCTTGCCTGCCTGCCCGCTTACCCGCACCCTGCGTATCAAGACAAAACAAACCGCCAAAACACACGTGAGACACATCACCGATCGGCGCGCCATGGAAAAGGCTCACTCGACACAACACATTCACACATCCGGTGCGAAATCCTGGCCGGCACGCTCTTTTGCCTCACCAAGCGTTTCCAAAAAGGATGGACGGTCAACAAAACTGCGATGGCGGGTCTTCACAAAGCTGCACCCAACTTACCGAGGTCGCGCTCGAAATTGCCACCAAACACTTGCGGGCCAAACCCTTCCAATCAAGTCTGAGCTTGGAATGTACAAACAGGACGTCCTGATCGGTGCTACCAGGGAATAAGAATGAACGAAGTCATTGGTCGGCCGGGGGTGTGTGTGCTCATAGTCGTGCATGCCGTAGTCGTTAGACCATTGACCTCGCATACCTACAAAGCCGGGACGGAGCACGCCGGGTTCTCACTGGACCAGGCTCTCACATCACCAAGCGCGAAGCGCCTAAAGATATTCGGCGAGTCGCATGAAGGGTGCGCTGCATCCTGCTAAGGGTGTTCGGCATCTTGTGCTTACTTCCTTGCGTACGGATGACAGCTGCGTATGACTTAATTTACTTTCTGGTGCTTTCACTTCCAGAGACAGTTGTAAGCACTGTGTAACTGCCTCGAGGGTGCTTGACCATTTTAACACAACGTGGTGCGATCATCCCCCTTGCGCGGAGTGAGGGTTCTCCACCCCGCACAACATGATCTACTCGACCACCATGGTTACCGCCAAAAAAAAAGAGGTAAAAAAAAAA